CTTAAAATTCCCAGTGGATGTGTAGGAGAGCACTCTAAAATTCCCCCAAAATGGTTCTGTTGGCTGCAGGCTGTAAATTTATAGCTGCTGCTGCTTTTTTTTTTTTTTTTTTGAGTCAGGATCTCACTCTGTTGCCCAGGCTGGAGGGCAGTGGCACCATCATGGCCACCACAGCCTCGACCTGCTGGACTCAGCCTCCCAAGTAGCTGGAACTACAGGGATGTGCACCATGCCCAACTAATTTTTGAATTTATTGCAGAGGCAAGGCCTTGCCATGTTGCCCCGGCTGGTCTTGCACCCCTGGGCCCAGGTGTTGTCTCGTCCCTGCCTCAAAGTGCTGGGATTACAGGAATGCGCCATTACGCCAGGCCAAATCGATAGCTTCTAATCGGGTCCAACTTCCTCATACACAGAAGGAGAAGCAAAAAACCTGAGGTGTGTCATGACTTTCCCATGCTCACCCAGCAGTGAGGGCAGTTCTTGTAGTGGAACCAGGTCTCTTCTCTGTGTGGGACTCTTGACAGTGGGAACACTACACTTCTTTGGGGAAGACTGATGACCCTTACTCTAGAATGGTGCCGGAATAGCCCACACTTTACACACACGTTTGAGGATTTCAGACCCTCCCTGAGATCCATGCAGGAATACCATGTAAGGAAACCACTGGCTTGCATGTCTGCAGCATAGAGGGACCAGGCCCCAGCCTTTGCCTGAGGGGAGCTCATGGGAAAAGGCACTCGAGGCAGGAACCCAGGTCCTCCGTTTCCGCTGCTTTGCTTCCCTTCCTCCCTTCCTGCCTTTAGTATTGTGGTATCTTTTATATCTAAACCTTCATTATGTCCCTCATGGGAAGAGTTAAGTAAGTCTGACACCCTTGTGCTGCTATCCCCAGTATCAGTCCCAGCAATAATTGATTTCTGATCTTTTACATATGTATATGTCACCCACAGAAAATAATCGTTTTAATAAAAGTAACCTGTGTTGATTATGTTTGCCATTTTGCAAGGTTTTCTTTTCAGCACTTTGCCTTGCCTTGCGTCTGGGTTCCTGCAGATCTGCTTCTTGCTTTTGTCTGCTGCGTCGTGCTCCATGGCTTGTTAATCCCACGGTTTAGTCACCTCCTGTTGATGAGCGCGGCAGGGTGTCGGCAGGTGTTTGGTCCTACCAGCAGTGCTGCAGTTCATACCTTGTACCTGCTCTCTGGACACGGGTGCTCACGGTTCTCAAGGGGAAGGAGACGTGTTCTGGCTAGGCACGTGACTTCAGAGGAGTGTGACCATCTCACACGTCTACCCTCAACATAGGGAACCCCCAGTTTTCCCAAAGCCCCTGAATACTTGCTGTAGTAGATTACAGTTATTTTTGGTCTGATGAGTAAGAAACAACATCTTAACTGTGTGAGCATGTTTGAGCACTTTTTGCATCTTTTGATGTGTTTATGAACCATTTGACATTCCTGTTCATATTTTTGGTGGGGATTTCTTTGGGGCTTAGTTAGCTTTTTCTTCTGAGTGATAGAATTCCTTATTCGTGTGTGTTCTTGATTCCAGTCTCTTCTGTTGTGTGTTGCAAGTCTTTTTCTTTCAACTCTTTCTGATCCTGGCTTTGCCTCCGTTGGGCTCTGTGATTTGGGGGACATTGTTGACTCCACAGTGCTGTGCGCCTCGGCTGAGAAGTGAGAGCACATAGTCTCTTGGTTGCTGGACGGTGAGATGCTATGTGTGTGTGAACTCTGTGCTGTGGGTTCCTCATTGGTCTCACCAGCCTGTCTGTTCAACTGTACCAAGTGAGAATGCACTACTTCTTCAGACTGTTGCCAGCGGGAGAGCATGTGAAAGTGTTGAGGAGAGTAGAGAATGCCTTTGAGCAGAAAGTGTTTTGTCTCTTTTTGGTTGACTCACCCTGTGCACTGGCCCCTGGGAAAGGAGGGGGCTGGAGTGTGGGCAAAGCCTGGGTGAATTGTACTGGGCCCTGTTTGGGCTCTTGCCCCAGCCCTGCAGCTGTTGGGTCAGGTGTGCTGAGAAGCGCCTCCCCTTCCTACCACCTGCTGCTTCTGTGGTTTGTAAGGAGCCCAAGGAAGGTTTTCTTCCCTTATCTGTCCATGGCCCAAGATTATTGGTGAGGAGTTCCTGGAGAAGGGAGTGGCCTCTCAGGGAGTCCGTCATGGAGGGGGAGCGGGCTTCCCAGGGAGGCCATCTTCAGAGTTCCCTGCCTCCCCGGTTAGCTGCTGCGGGCCATACTTCTGCTCCAAGAGGTGCAGGGCAGATTCCTGCCAACTCGACTCGTGGAAGGGACTGAGGCGTCCCTCCTCTCTGCATAGACCTGCCTGAGGAGATGGCTGCACCTCAGAGGCTTCTTTGTGGGCTCATCTCTAAGGTTTGAGGCACATTTGGGTGTGTTCCTTTCTGTCTCTAGAAACTGGAAAGTCTCAATGCTGCAGGGCTCTTGCAGAGAGCTTAAAATGGGCAAGGGCAGCTGGGGTGTGGGGGAGGAGAACTCTCCAGGGACAAGTGACCCGCCTGGCCAGCCCATGAGGAGTAGGGAGAGGCATGCTGTCACCAGCCAGGCTCTGTTGTCTGACCATTTGTAGAAGCAGGGTTGTCTGGCAGCTCGCCCTGTTTTTAGGTACTTCGGGGCTCACTCTTCGTGGCATGTGACCTCCAGATTCCTTTTCCCAGCTGTCAGCTGTAAGACTGCAGAGATTAAAGACTAAAATTAGTGGAGAGTTTAGGGGAGTCGCAAACCATCAGTTTAAAAAATAGAAGTTGTTAAATTTCAGAACCACAGCTGGAGTGGAAATGTGACCTGGTCTATGTGCCGAGAGCACGTCTGAAGTAGGTGTTGGTCACTGTCAGGGCACATGGCCTTACTCTGTGGACTTGGGAGGCGGAGGTCAGAGGGAAGAAAGACGGAGCCTTGAGTGTATTTTAATTGATGTCGTGGGGTCTTGCCAAGTATTGTGTGTTTTGGAGGAACCGAGAATGCCTCTGTAAATTTGAAAAATATGCTATCACTGATCCGGAGGCCAGTTTCAAGTAAGAGGTGTTTGTAGTGTTGGTTTATTCTTGTGCTTTAGTGTGTCCCTTCCTCCATAAAAATGACAATGATCTCACTTCCCTGTGCCTCCTCCCCCTTTCTGGTGAAGTGAGTAGCCCTCCCCGTCCCATAGAGCTGCTGAGGCTAGACATGGCGGGCTTCTGTGACTTGGGAATGCCCCATGATGTGAGTCTCAGGATTGTGGGTTCATCGTTCACCTGCTCAGTTGGCCCTTCACCACACCTCGGTGCCGGGCATGAGACATGCGGGGAGATGAAGGACGCAATTCTTACCTGAAGGAACTGGAAGCATCCTGGGGGAAGGAGGAGCACGAGGAAAGCTGGTGCTTCCCATTGTGTTCACCATGTCTCTGAGCACCTTGACATATACGAGCTCACTTAATTTTACCACGGTCCCATGAGATAGGTGCTGTTATTAGCTCCATTTTGCACATAAAGTCTGGGATGAAGAGAGGCTAAATAACCTGCTTGTGGCAGTTTTGGGATTTTAATCTTGGCACGGGGGCGCTAGTGTTGTGCTCTGCAGCCGTGCAGACCCTATTGTAGTCACTTGCCTCCGGTGGCTTTGGGGCATTTGTAATGTGGCTAAGTTGAATTGGGCTGTCATTGTGAAATGCACACTGGATGTCGGTGACCTGGCATGAAGAAAATGTATACAGTGTCTCATGTTGAGATTGCATGTTGTAATGATAATATTTTGGATATATCGAGTTGAGTAAAATGTGTCAAAGTTCATTTAAGTTTGTATTGTGGCTACTAGAAAATGTAAAATGATGTACGTGCTTGCATTGGGGCTCACGTGATACCTTTATTGGACTGTGCGGCTCTGCATCATCACACTGCAGTAGTAACCATAGCATGTGGCTGGGTACAGTGGCTCCAGCCTGTTACCCCAGCACTTTGGAGGGTGGAGGCAAGAGGATTGCCTGAGCCCAGGGGTCCACTACTACCTGGACAACTTGGCAAGACCTCGTCTCTGCAATTAAAAAAGCAAAAATTAGCCGGACATGGTAGTGTGCACCTGTAGTTCCAGCTACTTGGAAGGCTGAGGTGGAAGGATCGCCTGAGCCCAGCAGGTCGAGGCTGCGGTGGCCGTGAGCATGTTGCTGCACTCCAGCCTGGGCGACTGAGTGAGATTCCAACTAAAAAAAATAAAAAAGGCATGTGATATTTTTGAGCACCTTAGTGTGTGCCACATACGACTTTACAAACACTTCCAACTAAACCTCAGAATAGCCCTGTTTATTATACCTATATTATAGAAGAGGGAGAAGGTCTGAGAAATTTAGTAATTTCCCTGAGGTAATGATAGATCCAAAATGTGAAATCATATATTTCTGACTCAAAAACCTGTGATATTTTTCTTTTCCTTTGGGGACAGAGTCTCATTATGTTGCCCAATCTGGTCTTGAGCTCCTGGGCTCAAGCGGTCCTCCCAAGTACCTGAGACTACAGAAGCCAATTTACCTGGCAAAAAACCTTGTTCTTAATCAGCACACTATAATACCATTTCCAGTTAAATCTCAGGCTATTTTCTTTAATTTTTGTAAAACTGATATTACATACTTCTATATCTGACACATACAGGTTCAAAATAAATATCGCTAGGCCACAAAATAGATATCCCAGTTGGAAATCCCACAGGGCCTCGGTCTTCAGGGACCCCACACAGCTGAGCCAGAGCCAAAGCAGAGTTAACCTGTGCACATGGTGTTTAATTCCCATTCCAGATAGTTCTCTCGGGCCACTGGACAGTTCATGGCCTGACCCTCTTCATCCAGAGAGAAGGGGAAGGGACAGATCAGCTCTCCTCAGTCGTTCAGTTCCCTGGGCTGATATGAAGGGAGAACTACTTCTGTTTCCCTGTGCTTGAGATGCTGCTGGTGTTTGAGAGAGCAACAGAATGCTGTCCAGTGACCCTGCCTCTTCTTTCTTCCAGAGCAAAGACTCGGGCGGACTGAAGGCAGCTATGATCGAGTTGGTGGAGAGGTTGAAGTTCAAGAGCTCAGACCCTAAAGTAAGTGTGGTTTTGGAATTGATCGGGTGTTGGTACCCCAAGCATTTTTTTCTTGAGCTTAATTCGAGGAGTGTTAATGATCACTCTCTGAACATTATATTACGATCTGGTCAAGCCTGCCCTTCAAAAGCCATGGTTTCATGTGCCTGCAGATAAGTCACCTGACCTCCCCTGCTCTATTTTATGACTTGTAACACATAGTCATTGGTTTTTTTCCCCTGAACTGCAGACAGGTGCATTTTTAATCTTTCTTCACTGGCTCACTGAGACTTTGGTTGTCTGTGGCCATTAAATTCTGCCAGAAGTATCTGAGGTGCTTAATGCCGGGGCCTGAACAGGGTCTAGACCTGCCCAGCACCAGTGTCTCGATATTCCTGCAAAAGCCAGCTGCCATGGAGGATGCTTTTGTCCTCAGGACCTGGAGTCTGTTTTGGGAAATAGTTTGTGTCTCAGCTTTTTCCCCAAGGTGTTAGGGGCTGCAGGGTTGATATTCTGGGAGACACATACCAGGGTGGGGGTGGACTGGGACCGGAACATGCTGGAGGGATAATGACTAACACAGGCTCCCTCTTCCCTACCCAGACACTTAGGTGGCACTGCCTGGTATAGGGGCCAGCTAGCTCTGTCTGAGACTTGAAGCCTCTCACTGTTAAATAGAAGATTTTGTTGTTTTTATGGTACCTTGTGTGTCTCTTTTTCTTTTTAAGTTTTCATAAGGAGAATGGGACTAGGGTTTCTTGAGTAGCTACTGAGAGACAGGCATGTGCTAGGAGCCTTATATGATGATGTGAAACATACATAATAGAACTTTAGCCATTTTTAAGTGTGCAGTTCAGTGGCATTAAGTACATACATGTTGTTGCACAGCTATCCACTCCTTCATCTCCAGAACTTTTTTGTTATCCCAGACTAAAACTCCGTACCCATAAACACTAACCCCACCACGTCCTCCTGATCACTGGCTGTCCTGTCGAGGAGCCTCGATATTACAGTGTTCAGAGGTGAAGTCATTTGTCCCAAATCTAGTGCCAGAGGCGGGACTTGCTGTCCCCGGGCATTCCTCCTCTCATGCCGTGCTGTGAGGCGAGCCCTGGGTCTGAGTGCCTTCCTGCCACCCAGGCCTATTGTGCCTCTGTTTTCTAGGCTGAAGCATAGGAAAAGGCAGAGTCACAGGCAGTGTAGGCTCTTCAGGCAGCAGGGAGAGCACTGGGGACCTTGGTAACATCGCTGTGTAGTTAGGGTTCCAGAAGCAGAGAATATCTCGACAGAGAAAAATTGGGGTAGCCTTGGTCACCTTTCCTAGCTCAGGGTGGGAGGCCCCCAACAGGGGTGCTTTTCTTTTAGTTAGGATGAATCGGTTAGTTATGAAAAGTTACTGAAAGCTTTTCTTACCAAGTTTCTCTGGTCTGGGACAATAGCTGTTCTGTTTCTGCCACACTCCTGTGCTCATGACCAGCAGGGCAGTGGTGGGGAGAGGATGGCCCAGGTCACCCCGGGGGATCTGTGCATGATGCTCTCAGGAGCGCGGGGCTGGGGGTCCTCCAGGAGTGCATGCGCATTTCTGATGGGGAACTGGCAGGGGGTGAGAGTGGATGGTCCCGCAGGAGGAGCCCACGCAGCCTCAGGGTTGCACCACAGTGTCAGAAGCTGGAGGATTTGTAAGAACCCATTGTGGTCCTGGCTGTGCACACACCCCTCTTTCCCTCCTCTCTGACTCACCCAGGATCATTTCCCACCAGCCTGTGTTGCTTTCAAGCCCCCTAGTCTATACATGTGTGCTGTGCGTGCTTGGAGCCGCTTGAAGAAGGACAAACGTGATTAACTGCCAGGTCAGGAAGGAGGCGGAAATGGGCTACTTAAGTAGATATAATTTCTGCAACAAAGAACGGTTTCCTGGAAATAAACTGGCATCTTCTAAGAGAACCCTGAAGTTTTCAGCCTGTTCTCTCCCCTGCAGAGCCAATGCCTCATTTGAGTGACCTATTTAAAAAGGCAGAATCGCTCTGCTTTTTGTCCTGTCACTTCCCTGCGCAGAGGCTTTCTGTAAAAGTGCTAACTGAGTCATGGAGGACGGAGCACCGGATCTGCCTCACCTCCCCCAGAATTCCCTAAAGCATCACAAAGCTTGATGAGTCCAGACACTGAAGCCTACTGGGAACAGAGTTAATTTTTACCTGTGGTTTTTGCCTGCAAGCGGCCGCAGATTCCTAGACTAGTCGCTTTTTAAATTATAAAATAATACGGCTTGTAGATTAACAAGTACAGATATTCAAAAAGGAAAAGTTAAATGAATTTCTCCAAGTTAAACACTTTTAACAGCTTGGTGCATAACCTTCTAGACATCTTTCCATGTGTTAATACATTTTTAAATGTTTTACGTAACTGTCCTATACCTGTGGTTTTACAACGGCTTTTTCATTGAGTAGGATATCCCAGATATTCTTCTGTGTCAATAATATAGACTTAATACTTCCTAATGTGATGCCTCATTTCATCTAAAACATTTGTTAGACACCTTCTTTACTTCCGGACCCAGTGGTTCTTAAGCTTCAGTGTTCATGAAGGTCATCCAGAAGACTTACTGAAATGCAGAGTGCTGGGCCCTCCCCCAGGGTTTCTGCTTCAGCCGGCCTGGAGTGGCTGGAGAGCCATTGCTGTCAGGTTCTCAGGGGATGCTGGTGTGGGTACACCTTGGCTAGTTTCCTCTGCTTGTTAAGGCTTTTTTTCTCTTTTAACAAAGAGTCAGAAGTGCCTCTGGAAATAAGTCCAAGTAGTTTCAGTTTTGGAAAAAAAGGAGACAAGAATCCAGGCCTGTGGAGGAAATGCACTGAGCAGAGGTGGTACAGGAGCAAGGGAGGGTGAAGGGAGGGCAGCGCAGGCTGGGGGCAGGTGTGCTTCACACCGTCACTTCCAACAGAGAAATAGCAAAGCCAGCAAAGTGAGCATGGGGTCTTGGTCAGGATTGAGGAGGATGATCCAGGCCCCTGTGTGTTCTGGGGTCGGCTGAGGAATAGCTGGAACAACAGGCCTGAGGACTGACCTGAGGGCCACGTCAGAGCCAGGGTGCTGGAGGATTCAGCCCAGGATGGGACTGTATGGTGCCCATCTTCAAGGGTACATACCTCCAGGCATCTAGAACCCTTTGCTCATGGATGACTACCATGAAGAAGAAGCAATTTATGATAGTTTTCAAAAGGATTCCTAGGTGGTGGTCTTTTAAATAATAAGCTGCCCTCACGTGCTTGCCGTGATTCCATTTGCAAGCATTTTCCTCCCTAGCCAGACTTTTCTGAAACACCTGTTGCTTGAACAGGGTTTTTATCTGTCAGTTTCTTCCATTTATGCTAGACTTCAGGAAAATTAAAAGATGTAGTCAGTCAGGGATGTGTGTGTGCATGTATTCAAGTTCTTGTAGAACTTGAATTTTTAAGAAATTTAGTTCCTCATCGTCATGGCTTTCCTGTGAAGTGCCTAGGCAGTTGCCTTTTGTGGCTTCCCCAGAGGAAGTCCAGGCTTGGACACCACATTGGTTTCCCCCCTTCCTCCCCTCGCCAATTCCTCAGAAAGCATTAGACCCCAGGTGCAATGTGCTGAGCACAATCCAGCTAGCCTCTTACTGTGTGGTTGACAATGGCGTTTTCTTGTTACATATTGATGACTTTTCTTTCCCTCTCAGATGCACTAGTTTCTGTTCCTATAACTGGTGTGTTGAAGCAAACAGTTAAAAGCACAGTTGTGTGTCTCAAACTCATCCTAATCTTATATTCTCTAAGCCAAGTGACTCACCTTATTCTGTCTTAAGTGGGTACAAACCTGGGATCTGGTCAGGCTGAGAATGCCTAAAACGTAGCAGGGTTTTTTGCTTTTCTTGTTTTCTCCAGTCTCTAGAGGTATTCTTACTAAAGTGTGAAACCAAAGATTTGTCTACTAACTTGAAATTAAACAGTTTCTTATTATATACCATTTACATGTATAATTGCAAAAGAACTTTATGGTCATTTTTCGTAGCTGATATCATTGACATGGGACACAGCCTCGTCCCTCACTCTTTTCTGTGATAATCAGACTCTTGCCAAAAATTATACATTTTAAGTGTACAAATGGCAACGAATGTAAGCAAAACAATGTGAGTTCTTGTTGTTAGTGTCCTGTTGTTCACAAGATCAGGTTGGGCAACTTCCCTTCCTTGCCCTGCGCCAAAAAGAAGTGTTCACTGGGGTGGTGTTTATTCAGCCAGCCCAAGTAGAGACCGGAGATGCCACAGCGTGTGACAATGTCCTGTGGATGAGGGGTCTCAGAGCTTTGTCCTGCTTCGGCACTTTCCATATACAAGTTCTAAGGAGGGAGATTCTGGGGGGCTGAAAGATGTTTATCTTATCTGTGTCCTTGACCCTTGTTGGCCTGGGGCCTGGCACTAGTGTGGGCTTGTATCATCCATGATGACACCCTGTGAAGACAAGAATTTGTCCTGCTTAGTGGACAAGCCGGCGACCTAGTGGGTAAAGGAGCTTGCTGGCAGTGATGGGACCAGGATGTGCCTTCAGGCCCTCCTGGTCCACATTACATACACACACACACACACATTTGCTGCCTTGAGTCCATGACAGGCAGCCATGGGGACCTGCGTAGCCGTGCATGCACTGTCATCCTCCCCAGCGCATGGCCTTCATGCTCACTGTTCCTTCACTCTCGCCTTCTGCCTCCCTTCCTGGAATCCTGCAGCCATGGCGCCCCACAGTCCCAGAGCTCCAGGACTGGAGCATGGCTTTTTCCAACAGGATGGCAGGATGGGGGGGATGGCAAAGGAGCCACAGCCCCAGAGCGTTCCGCCTTGGGCAGGGGCTGTGGCAGATTGACCCCACTGGTGGAGGACAACAGTTGGGGAAAATATCTGTGTGTTCTTGGGCCTGTGCTGTGCTCTGAGGCATGGACACTAGCACATGTGGCCTCCTTTTATGTTCTGCATGCACTTTGGGGAGCACGGAAAGGAGAAACAAGCT